CTGCAATAATTAATTAGGCATTCAATAATAACTTTCCTATTTTGTATTTATTTATATTAATGTTTATAAAAACTTATTTATTTGTATATAATTAACTTTGCTATTCATTGTATAGTTATATCCATATATTATGAAAAAAATAAAATGTAGCTATTTTTCTTGAATATATAGGTATGTTTGCCATATTCTGTAGTTTTTTCTTATTTCTTTTAGGCTAATACGTGCTAATTTTGTTTTAGGCTATTAATTGCTATTTAATATTGGGCTATATATTGCCAATTATATATAATAGTTGTATGTCTGTGTCAATTCCTCAAAAAAATTGTTGTAAAGCAGAGAGCGGAATGGTGTATTTTTCCCTGATTAAAATGGATGGGAGGGCGGCACTCAAAAAAAAATTGATCGAGGCCATTCACGGACTTTTATAAGTACATGTTTTTTTTAGCAAATTTACCGCACTGTACAGACTACAGAGCGTTAGCGGCCTTTTATTAAATATAAAAAGATATCCATAGGGATAAGTACAAGCAAGAGGACTAGCCCTACCTTACCATTCCCAATGAGATAACAAGTCCCTACTAATTAACAAGCATGAAAAAAATAAGAACTAGAGAAAACTAGATATTCTATGATCGTCACGGAGTTTATAATACTCACTATGATGATATTACAAATGAGGATGCTTAAGTAGTGCAAGAATATAAAAGCTAAGAATAAAGATGAGTTATCCACCTCAAACTTCATTTGATATATGTATGAACTAAAAAAGATAGTTTGTCCGTCTAAAGTAATCTGAAGTATTTCCCTCTTGTCTTCTTCTTCAAATCTGTCCAAAAATGATTGATAGTTCATAACTTCTAGTTGGATTTGTTGGATCTTGCTAAAGTTGTCATATGATTTTGCTTCGCCAGTCGCATCAATAGGTGTCTTGAAACAAATTCCTCATTTACCTTATCATCCCAACTATATTGTCTTCCATATGTCTTATTATTTATATGTACATGTTAATTTAGAGTCAACTCAAGTTTTCGTTTACTCAACATTTTATTAGTTAGTATTATTGTTATTATTATTTTATTAGTATTAATAAATCAAACTTGTTGTCAAACTTTAAAATATTAGACTGCTCTTTGGGTTCATCTGTCCATTCTCTGTTGGGCAAGAGAACAAAGGGGGGTCTCCCTATATTTCTAGTTTTGAGCCATTTGACTTTATTACTGCACCATTTTTAAAATTTAAAATGGGCGGTCGTCAACCATATTCTTAAAAAAAAAATCAAGATGCAAGTCAGCGGCTTGACACTTTCTCTTCAATCCAAATAAAAAAAAATTGTATTAGTACATTTATCAATTTTATTAAGTGATTAGTGCCAGTTGTGCCGTCCTCCAGATATTGAGACAAATAAAATCTGCTGATTATTAATTACGAATTTGTATTTAATAATGTATCATGTATCGCACCGTCACATCTGAAAGCTATTGACTTTTTGGTGGAACGCAAACTATATAAACCCACTCCAAATTCATTTCATGCATCAACACAAATTAATTAAAGTGAGAGAAAGAAAAGAGAAAGATGATAAATTATCAGACAATGCTAAACAATGGTGAAACTTTACCAATTATAGGTATGGGTACTTATTCAGGCGAAAACGATAGAGAAATAACTGAGACAGCCATTAGAACCGCCATCAAGGTAAGTTTTCAAATAGAGTTATCTGCAATTTGTTGTGTATGAAATTAGTCTAATAGTACGTTTTATCTGTATGTATAGATGGGGTATAGACATTTTGATACCGCGAAAATATACGGTTCTGAGGTGGCTGTGGGAAATGCATTAAGACGAGCGATTCATGATGGGTTGGTTGAAAGGGAAGATATTCATGTCACTTCTAAACTTTGGTCAAGTGATCATCATGATCCTGTTACTGCTCTTCAACAAACTCTACAGTAAGCGCGTGCTGACATACATTTTTTTTTCATTTCTGAATGACACATTTTTATATTTAAAAATAATTTAATTTTGAACTTTTCATTTACAGGAGGCTAGGAATGGAATACATAGACATGTATTTAGTGCATTGGCCAGTGGCTTTGAAACCATGGGTGGACTACCCAATTCCCGCAGAAGAAGACTTTGAGGAATTAGACATGGAAAATACTTGGTCCGGTATGGAGAGGTGTTTAGAGATGGGCTTGTGTAGATCCATCGGCGTCAGCAATTTTTCTTCAACAAAAATACAACACCTTCTAGATTTTGCTTGTGTCACTCCTGTTGTCAATCAGGTAGAGCGGACAATAATATTACTAACGGGCTAGACTGTTACATATGAATAAATAATTTAATTTTTGTTTGTAATATTTTCTGATGATGTGTTTTTTGTGGTTGACTATAGGTGGAAATGCATCCAATGTGGAGGCAACGTAAGTTGAGATCAATATGTAGGGAATATGGAATTCATGTAAGTGCATATTCACCTCTTGGTGGTCCTGGAAATGCTTGGGGGACTACTACTGTGGTTGATCATCCAATCATACAATCCATTGCCCACAAGCATAATGCAACTCCAGCGCAAGTAAGAAATTAAACGCGCGAATTATTCAATTTTTTGGATGACTAGAACGAAACTAATTAATGTTGATGAATATTTTTTAGGTTGCTCTAAGATGGGGATTGTGTGAAGGATCAAGTGTTATAGTGAAGAGCTTTAATATGCGAAGAATGAAAGAGAATATGGAAGCTCTTCATTTGAAATTAGATGAATGGGATTTAATTGACATAAATAAAATGGAGGAGAGGAAGATTATGAGGGGAGAATGGCTATCTAATCATACTACAAGCCCATACAGAACCATCCAGGAACTTTGGGATGACGAGATTTAATTGTCTTTTTTGGAAGTGGCCTTTAAATTTGGTCAGCTCTGAAAAATTGTACTTGCTAGCTAGTTGCACAAAAGATCCTATACAATACTCTAATGTAGATGCTCAATTCATTTTAATTTGTTTGTCTGATTTTAACGACACAATTTAAGAAAGTAAAAAAGATTTTGAATCTTACGGTCTTAAATTAAATATATGTAAAGTGTACCAAAATGTTATTTAATCTTATGATCTTAACCATGTCATATGAAAAGCTGAAATTAAGACGTTAAATTAAAAAAAAAAACATTTTTTCAAACGAACTAAAAAAGAAAGTAAGACAAACAAAGAGTACTAACTTATTATATACGGTAGGCCCTAATTAAGTGATACGGTCAGTACTGGTAGCATGATTGCTTAGATAAAGCTTCTGATTAATTTTCTAGTCGTTGACTTAATAAGCTTTGAGTCAATAGGGAAATTTTCTAATTAGCACTAATCCATCCATCCATAACCCAAAGGTTAAGGGCCATATATATCCCATTTAAGTTCAAGCATATCTGGATCTATGATATTTTATTCAACAAAAAGGATAACTATAAATGATTATAGGTCGGAAAAATATAAATAAATTAATAAGATGCCAAAGAAAGTTTTCTCGTGATCTATTGACGTCAAACATTGAAATGATATTCTGTTATTTTTCTTCTATATCGATTATATAAAGTATCATAGAGAATATGTTCATCATTTTGCGAAAAATTATCAAATTCAGCAAAAATAAAATAAATAATGATAAACAACTATCAATTTGTCGTTTCAATTGTCTGTTGTGTGAAGGGTATCTTATAATTTAACGTGTTAATAATTCTACACATTCCTCTAATTCAGGGACTAGCTACATGTAAATTATGGGAGCCATCTGGGAAACATAAGGTACAAGATGACGTTGACCTTAACACCTCAAACCTCTTTACCAATAGAGCAGGATTGTCTTGACCGAATGAATTACACAAAAGATCATGTAGCAGAGACAACTTTTGTTTTGAACCGAACCGTAACCAATGACTCAAAAGTAATGATATTATAATTTATTAAGGGGATAAAATACAAATTCATTTACGAAGGTATTATTAATTTAACCAATAAACTGACTGATAACTGCTAAGCTAATATCAAACCTACCGATATCTTATCGGTTAGGTTAGCAGTTTAGTACATTTAAAACAGAAAACCGATAAAGCGGACCATTAAATACAAATATCCAACCAGCCCGATAAGGCGGTAGACAGACTTAATAGTCTGCTGAGTACCTTGATCATCGAGATACGGCTGGCAGTAATCTAGTCTTTGGCTATCTCCACACTGTTACCCCTAGAAACATGTGATGTACCTTGCTCGATACACTGGAAAGCAGGAGAAAAAGTAAGTAATGGTTTTCACTTATCTTAACCTCTCTTTCAGCTGTGCAAACCCATCAGACAGCTCAGCTTTCAACTTACCCACAAGAAATCAGCAGTGACAATCAACAAAATTAACCACAGGAAAAGAATGATACATTGGCAAATTACCTGTAAAAGATGATTGTGCAGCCAATCCAATGTTTGTGGAAACGTCGTCGCTGATATGTTTACCACTGTTAAACCCTGTCAATAAAGAACGCAGCACCCATAGGATAAAAATCGTTAACATTATACTTATAACAAGTCAATAATGGGATGTAGTCTGTAAAAGTCAAATCAAATCGATCAGGCATGAAAATGTATATGAATAATAGTTATTTTTCTTTCTTTAAAATAATAAGTTAAGTAAAAGATCACTTATTAGACAACTTCCATAATAATGTCCAACTACAACTGTAGGGTGCTTTTTATTTACTGTAACTTGTGTCTTCAACTCACCATAAGTTAAAATTCCTTTTTTGGTGCATGCCTTCAAATATATGCAAGTCAAGTAGTATCGAGAATTCTAGAAAAGAATTGACTCTCCCATAACTTGACAAATTTACATGAACTGCCTAGCAAGTCCCTCGCACCACAAGAAAATATACAGCCCCTTTCTAGCTAATAATAATGTGCTCTTTTTAGAAGGATTTAAGTATGTAGGAAATACACTTGGCTCACATTTCTTTCTTGTTATTTCTGCTAGCAAATGCCTGCACCCTTTCTGGAACTTTTCATGATGAAATTCCCAACGTTTTGATGCTACTTTCTTGAATCCCTATATACATTTAAAAGAATTATTAACATTAATTTAATCAAATAAATACATAAATAAAAGTTATTTAATTTTCTACCAAGATCGTAGAAGTCTAATATCAAGATAAAAGGGTGAATTTCACTTCCGAACTCTACTTTAAAAATCAACCCCCCCCCCCCCCCCCCTTTTAGCACCTACCACTACCACACAAGAAAACAAACAGACCAGCCAATAGCGAACTGAAACCTATTGACTTGGATGCCATGCTCAATTTTGGGGTCCTCTTCTTTCCTCTAGCTCTATTCATTCATCATGATGAAGAATGGAATTGAAAGAAACGGACACTAGATTCAAACTCCAGATACAAGCTGGCTAGCTACAAGAACACACTATTGAAATAGCATCGTGCATCACTAGCTGCATTTAGAGAATGTAGGACATCATGCATCCAACGTTTTCAAATTGAATACGTATCAAATCTGCAATGACGGCATTTTAAGGGTGATAATAATACATTGCTTGATTATCAAGCCATTTTTATTTCGTATATAGACAGATTATAGGGCTTTCATCATACAGTTGTGCTCATTGAATTTGCTTTCCACCAGAAAAACACAAAAGAGAAGAGGATCCAATACCAAGAAGACTTATAAATAGTCTGGAGGAATTTCTGACTTTTGAGCTTCATTAGATACTACAGTAGGTTTAATGCAGATTAGGCTCTTACTGGTAGGTTTATTAGTCTTGATTTCTCTTCAGATATTTTCGTCTATGGGTCCTCAGACAGTTATATCTATGTAGAAGGATTTCCAAATTTTATGTTGATGTTGGGAAAGATAGCAAACACCATACCTGTGAGGTAAAGGAACAGAGATAGTCCTGTATAGTCTTCAAGTTAGATATCATGTTATCTTTGTCCTGAAAAGAAATTCAAGAGAGGATTACCAGCTGAAAAACAAGATAAGAAAATAAAAAATATTCAGATACAAGTACATTATGTATCATATGTGTGCTTAGTAATATCACACGCATAAACATATAGAAAGAATTGAAGCCAGATACAGAGACAGCAAAGGGTGAAAATTTTCTTAATTTCTTGTAGATTGATGAGCTTTATGATATGTGTTCCAACTTTCTTTGATTCGTAAAATATCACAGTTCTCTTTACTTCTGTTCTGGCACTTAAGTCCATGCTGCTGACAAGAATGACAAAATTGAACTGCCATCCCTTTTCCTTTCCTTTTTTTTTTGTGGGGGGAGAGGGGGGGGGGGGG